CTCATCATAAAACTGTCATTTCCCGCCATCTTGATATATCTAGAAGATGAAGTACTTCCTTATCGTCTGCAGCAACAGACAGAATCAAGGTTTTACTGTAGATTTTCAATGCACAACATTTGTATATATATATACGTCCACTCGGAACAAGTTTAGATTCCCTGGAGGGTCTATCTATAACAGTAGGATCATTAGTGGACTACACAAGGTTTTTTTTCACAACTATTATTAGTGTATTGAAGATGTAAACTAATTAGAATAAAGTGTTTGTAAGAAAGTGTTACTCATAATGGAGAACCCACAAGAAAATATAAACATGGAGGAAAATGTGAACACTGAAGTTAAAATGGACGAACCCAATGATATTAATGTAAAGACTGAGGAAAATAATCACGAAACAACTCAGATAGAGGAAATTAAAACGGAAGAACCAATAACCGAAAAAGATGTCGAAAAATCTCAAGAGAAAACTGATTCTGGGTCAAGTAAGTCATAAAAATGCAGCAACTTTAATTCATTCTTTGGAAAATTTGGTAAATATGTTTTTGTTTTATCCTCTTTGGTATTTGTTTGATAACGGTAACATGGCACTCCCGCGCCTATACTATTTTTGTTAATCATGTTAATGGAAAAATATAGATGCATGTACAATATAACTTTAAATAAAAGAACAATTTAACATTAGGAAAAGTATTTTTTTCGAAGCTTCATCACTTTTACAGACGGCGAGAGGTAAATAATCAAGGGTGCCCCTCCACCAATTTTAATAGCTACTTCCAGCTGTTGTTTGAGCTAAATAGCAATGTACACTATATAGTGTGTAATTTACAATCACAACTTGTGGTAATCTACTTGATCGTTAAATAATTTAGCTCTGGAGTTATTCAATCAGAAGATAATAATTGACGATTTTAATCAAGTCCGTTACACTCTTTGATATTTTGATTTAAATTGATAGTATACCATACACGTAACCGAGATATAAATATTTGGATTCTTGTCAAATTTATAACAAAATAATGGTAACATATATAAATACGATAAAATACGCTTAATTGAAGTATTGCAAGACTGTAGATCCTTTTAAGCTGTAACCAAATTGACATTTTTCATGGAAGGTTGACCTTAGTCAGTGAATTTGGCTAATTTTTTATGTCCCTTTTGGTCATATACAGTACCTAACGTTTCTTCGTATTTATACATCCCTGGCTTTCAAATGATTGGGTTTGAGCGTCCCTTGTCTGTAGAAATATAAAAAAGCGATTCGGTGCACGAAATTTAGAAAGTGTCAATTTCATTTTCTGGATATAGACCCTTTTCAGGATTTAAAAGTTTATAGGTTTGAGTAACCAGCAACTGAAAATGGGTGCTAGAAGTAACAGAGTAAAAAAAAACCCAGACATTTTACTATAGTCTACTACTATTAGACCAACAGAAATATAGTTGTGTTTCCTGCCTCCATACCTACCCTTAATGTTCATGTCTAACCTAACACATTTCATGGACAGTTTAGTTAAGCACCAGATACCATACTTTAGGTTAAGCACCGTTAAAGTCCTAACATTCCCCTTTATAGTCTATGTAAAATACGTTTTTCTTTGCCAGGAGGCAGGAAACGAGCTTAGCATATACATGTATTTTTTAGCCTTACCATGACATGCCTTTATGAAATGGATATACTAATAATAGTACAATCACAATTACAGTGATTTTTCCGCTGTACTTTACATGTTGGACATAACATGTGATGACTATATAATTACTGTATGCCTTGATCGTGAGAAAATCTTACAGGTACTGAAACATGTGAAAGGTAACAGTTTATTTTTTTTATATTATGTAAAAGGATAAAAATATATTTTGAATAAAAAAGTTGAAAATTTAAATTATCCATAGACCTCATAGATAGAAGTAATACAAATACATTTATGCATTTAAACAAAGGGTAAAATAGTGATAATTGGCGCCAATAAATAACGTCAATATAAATTCACACCTTCCACAAAACGAGGAAAACATGTTCAATTGAATCCTTAACGATTGGAGTTATACATCCTTGTTAAGGATGGAGGATCCTTTAAATAATAATTCGTATGGTTCCAATAATATGGTTTTAATATCTCGTTGTCAGTGTAATATGACACAAAGAAGGACCAATATACACTCACGGGCATTGCGTCGTCAAGGTAAGCATTTTAAAAACACCGACACTGCCATTGTTGCAATGTAGTAGGAATGTTGTAGAAAAATATAAAAAAAAACACAATGAAACCAGTCTCATAATGTTTGTCGAGGTTGCGACATTTATGTCGCGAAAGCTTGACATAGAGATCCTAGATTTCGTCGTCGTCGCCGGCGGCGTCAACATTTAGGATCAGTCTGGTTGACAGTTTTCTTTAGACATCACCAACTTTGTCAAACCTGTATGGAATTTTATGAAATTTTGGAATAAGCTTTTTCATGACTAAAATACAGTATCAATGCAGAGCACAATTTTGAAATATATTTATTTCATTTCTCCGTATTTAACTCATAAATGGACTAATTTTTTACAGTTAACATTAACATACAGTCTAAGGTATAAGTTTTTCAGTCATGAATAACTTTTCAAACCTTCATTGAATTTTATATAAGTTGGACAGAAGCTATTTGTATGATCAAACGACAGTATCCATACATGTAGCAAAGATAAATGAACTCACGCTTTACATGCAGTCAACATTATATCTTCACACTTACTATGCTTACAGCAGCAATCGCAAGCGATACACAAGGTTCCGCTGAACCATTTATAAATTTTTGATTTTATTTGCTCGCTGACTTGGTTATTGATTTGGCCTTTCGACTGTTTTGCTGTGAGTTCCACTGATATGCGTCTTTTGTAAACGAAACGTTCGTCTGGCGTTCTAAATTATAAGTCCGTTATCGTTATTGACTTTTGGCAAATCTCTAAATCTGAATTCTCATTCAAGTTTCGGCATCTGCTAATTCAATTTCTTATGTTTTAGAAGATATTAAATAAAGTTACATTGTATATAACTGCATTTACTTAAGTGACTTTAAATAAGACTTTGTTGGAAGGAAATACAAGATGAATGATCGTTGTTGCATGCAACGTTTGCAACGTTTTTCTTGCATGTTTAAAATGTATCATATTGTGTCTTTGACGTGGTTGTTGTTAACCAAAATATAGACACATAAACTTTTAATAATGATTTATTAAAACGAAAACAATAACTAACAAGATATGTATACTTTCAATGGAATACATTTTATATCTTGACATATTGTCTACTCTGACTTGTCTATTTGTGAAAAAAAGCAGAGAAAATACCTAGGGTAAAAAAAAACCGTACGTGTAATAGACTATTTTCATATTACCGACTTTTGACTCCGGATTATATAATTTTTCGACAGGTTACCTACTCTGTGGTAGGACATCCTGGTACTCGGTCAAACAAGAGCAACCAAAAGAAGTAAAATCAAATATCATGAATATATAATCGGTGCAATGTAGGGGGGGGGGGGGGGGGGGGGAGGAGTATACTGTTTTCTAATGATTTTGTCGTGTATACAATACATAAAACAAATAATTTCCCCCAAAATTGTACTGATTGAAAGCTTGATTTTACTTCTTTATGTTGCTCTTACCTGACCGAGTACCAGGATGTCCTACCACAGAGTAGGTAACCTGTCAAAAAAATACAAATTCCGGAGTCAAAAGTCGGTAAAGTCAATTCTTAGATGGGTAACACCATGACCAAAAGAAGAAAAAAAAAAAACGACGGAGCAAACAGTTTTACAGGCCACAAAACAGTACGCAGGAAACTTGCCTGTCCTAATTGATGTATTGTTTTTGTGTCGTTGGATTGCCGTCTTCTTGAATTATACCTTGCTGAAACTTTTATTTATTTGTGTGTATCCCAAAGAAATTATTGTTAAGGTATTCTGTAAACCAATGCCCCAAAGACGTCGTATCTTTGCTGGGATAGTTTGGAATCAAGCCAAACATGTTCAAAACTAGCTGTACTTCTTTTATCACCGTAATTTCGCAGCAATGTTCTATTTTCGATTTAACATTGTTAAAAAGTTGTAAGAAACCTCACAGAATACGACATATTTCATTATAAAGTATGAATCATGTAACTTTTATAGGTTCTACAAAGCACAATTACTTACTAACTCTTTTAAAGGTTGCATGCTATTAAGTAATATCACCGTTTGCAATAGAACATTCAAATATTACACATCTTGAAACATAGACTATTTGATATTCCGGGGAGAGGGGGAAGGGGGTTGCGGATTTACTTTTTATTTGTATCTGTTGCTATGCACGCTTATTATTTTCCGCAACTGTTTCCTGAATTTTATGTTGCGGAATATTTATTTTCAACCCCCTTCAGAAAATCACTTGGTCGTCCCCTTACTTGACATTAGTTGACCAATTAATGCTGTCAGGTGGTCAATAATAATAATGATGACCTATTAGCTGATTAGGCCTATGCCGTAAAGTTTATTGGACTGTAGGATCTAACATTAAGATTTATAAATAAATAATTAAAACAAATGCAGTCAATAAAATCTCTAGAATCTGACATAAATGATCAGCTTGTTGAAATGCTGATTGACAGCTCAGGGAAATGTAACCATATTTAAAATTTGTGCACTCATCATACATGTACATGTATTATTTTTTTTTGCTGATCAAAATGCCGTACTTTGAAATTTGGACACATCCGATTGGTGACATTATGATTTCATTGCAATAGATTTTATACATCACAATTCAACGATGAAGAATTTTAACGGTCAAAGCAAAACATTCTTGTGTACAGATTATTTTTTGAAAACCTTTATCGGCTTTTAAATATTGTTCATCAATAAAAGATTGCTGAATAATAAACATGTCTCATTCGCATAATCCAGCATCGTATCTACGGTTCTACAAACCGATCCTTAGCACTGAGCCATGATTAACGAGTATTTTCTTATTATTTCAGCTCGGAATGAAAGTTTTGGTAACCGAGTCTTACACTGCCTGTCTCAGGTTCCATGTGCCTCCCTTATAGCGTGGATCATCCTCCTTGTGGGACTTGGTGGTCTTACGGGAGGACTGTTGATTGGGATACAGAAAACACGTGATCTAGTCGATTCTGAACACTTGTAAGTATATCTATATTCACATGCTGTTTTTTTAGGATTACAAACATGCTGTGTTTTAAGCTAGCAAACATTTTCTCTTATTTTGTGTACATATAAAATTACTACTGTTGAGATTTCTTTAATTTCAACTCGTGCTGCACTGGACTACTGTTTGTTTTGTTTGTTTGTTGGTTCGTGTTTAACGTCACTCTCAGCTTCCTTAGCTATACCATGGCGGCCATTTTAAATTTGCGGGGGAACCCAGAGAGAACCGACTTTTGGAAAACTGACTACTAATGGTTTGTCTCACTTGCTTACAAGTCCATTTGTACACCGAATTTTGACTACAATATTAATAAGAATTTATTTTGTTTCCCCCATATACCGCTTCAGTGATCTTGTAGTAAGTAGCCTGCTCGTCCCAAAACCATGACTCTTAAATCTGATATCTAAAAGGTATCTGCTAAGCACATGCATGACAATTATAGGAGTAAGTACAAAGATGTTGCGTGGGCATGAATAAAAAAGAGAAGTTTTATACTCATACCTAGGAGTCTACTCCCGTATCCTGAAGAAGAAGAAAACTAATGTGTATGAGTTGAATGGTATTTCTTTCTTTTAGAAAATGATTCCTTGTGAGCTGAAAAGCGGAAAATTAGCCGAAAAACAAAACATTTCATAAATCATATCAAATTGGCGTGGTCTCGTCTTGAATATGACTGAAAAAGTACTCATTGGTTGGTATATATATTCACCCATCCAATACATTATACTTCCTTATAACAGTATGATCAGACAGCAACAGGCCGACAAAGGACAGTCAAATAAAAAAATAAAAAATCTATAATGTAGACATTTCACTATAGTAATACGGTGGAGGCAAACTGGTCCACTATTTGTTGGTATTCGGATCGCATATTAGTAGTTTTCAACCCATTTGACCCTTTAAACCACATAAACTGTATAATAAATGCTTCTTAACTCTTTCTAAACAGCGCTAAACACTTCTTACGATGGAAAGGGGTTTGGGGGGGGGGGGGGGGTCTATTGCATGTAGATCAAAAGTGGTCGCACGGAACCAAATATGTAAAGATCGCCTACGAAAACTTATTATATCGTACTAAAATACAGAGAGTTATTAATCTGACAACATATAAAGTATATATAGAAGCCTTTTTTGGTCAAGTAAGCTCAGTAATTAGCAGTTAATTTGAAGCCAGATACTTTTTAACTTGTAGATTAATGTTCAAAATGTAAACAAACATAGAGAGTTCGAGACAGAAGATCTGCACTATTTACAGTTGTTATGACTGTCATAATACAAACACTGGTTTTGTCTGTTTTTTACGTTAATTGAAATGCTTGGAAGCAAAATAAATATATAGATTTGAGGCAGGACGAACATACATTTTGATCAATTATATCTGATACACATATGAAGTGTATAACTAACTGACCGTAAAACATCATTCCCTGTTTCCACATATTTCCCAAAAAAGATCTTTTGCAAGATTTTTATTCGAGTGTTTCTTACTTAAGGGTATGTACTCCCTTGAGCATGTTGAGAGCAGGTTTTAATATTTTTATGCAAGCAGTTGATTCTCGTTATGCTGAAAATATATATATTAAAATGGAATATTTGTGTGTTTTATTGGGTTTGACGCTTAAATGGATTTAACAAAAAAAAGTATTCAAAAAGATTTAACAATAATTTTGTTTTGAAAAGATGAATTATTTTTTTTTTACATTTTTGTGATGAAATTGTTAAGATAACCAGTTTGACTTGTCATATGGCAATGAAGCGTTGATCAATATCATCATGACTTAATCCTTTATAAATTGGTCTTAACTAAATCATATTGGACTGCTAAAGATTTTAACCTCTCGTTTGGGTTTTGTTAATTGTGTGTAGGGAATAGATACACTATTTTCGTTTATAACACTAAATAGTATTAACAAAGGTAGAAAGAATAGTACAATGCATATGAATAGTTTTCATATTCATGCAAAACACCAACCATTGTTTTATGCTTATAGAATGGATCAAGACTGCCAAATAAGATGAGCAAATTTTGGCGGGAGCCAACGACGCTAAATCTCACAAGTATCATTCGCAGAATGACGGTGTTGTCTCTTTATTTTTTAGTATTTTGAATAACGGTTAATATAACACTCATGCATTAGTATATTATATATGTATTGATTGGTAGTAAGTACGTTAGTAGACAATTATGTTATGAACAATGAATTTTTGGGTTTTACTGTTATTATGTAACCGTGATTATCATGATAATTAACATTGAATGTGCCAGTGTTCTTTAGTATACTGCATTCTGTATATTTCATATCAGGCTATGCATTTTAGGATATATATAGTAGAGGTGTTTAGCCGGATTAATTTCGAAATACCGCACATATTATGATTTTATTTCAGACTATGGTTTTTAGAATATGCAGTTGCCGGCGTAGTAGCCGGAATGTTTGTATTTGGGACATTGCTTCTGTGTATTGGTCACATTTCTACTGACCCTACTAGTCGTCATATTTTCCATACTACAAAAAGAAATCTCTGTGCTCAAGGACTTAATATTACGGTAAGTTCATAATGACCAATAAAGATGTATGACCAATTTCCCCTGTTTTTGTTTCACCCTCAGTGTCAAAATAAAAAAGAAGTTGTAAAAGTGTATTGTGTTATGCGACTGTCATACAAGTGAGAGGTTTAGCTAGCTATAAAACCAGGTTTAATCCACCATTTTCTACATAAGAAAATGCCTGTACCAAGTCAGGAATATGACAGTTGTTATCCATTCGTTTGATGTGTTTGAGCTTTTGATTTTGCCATTTGCTTAGAGACTTTCCGTTTAGAATTTCCCTTGGAGTTCGGTATTTTTGTTATTTTACTTTTGACATTTTAGAGGGGAAATGGCCCTAACTCTTTATCAGCTCTAGCTTGTAGATTTATTGGTGGACATTTCCACATCACTATATCCTATGCTTTTTAATTTATCATAAAATACTAGAAAACTTAATTGCTCACAACTTAAAAGTAAATGTTCTCGTGATACTGTTTTTGGTGAAAAATGGCTACTGTTATCTAAGAAATGAATTTCCATTTCAATTCTGATGTTGTACAAAGAGACATGTATAGACTGTATCCGATATGTCTTGACATGCCTTCACATACAGCAGCATTCTCAACATGATACGTTCCATTTTGAAAATAATATTATGCAAAACATTCATATTACAATGTACTCACAAGTTCAGATTATGATGAACTTAGTGTATATTTCCTAAGAATAGCTGTCCAGTAAAGATAAGAATCATTAACGATTCACGATCAATCTTCTAAGCTTATACGTATTTAATGTTTCTACTGGATGCCGAGAGAGGAACAAAACGCGTACTTAGGAAGATTGTGGATAGTGAGAAAGAATCTTAGGTTTGACATAAAATCAATGTCTGTTATCTGAAAATGGATTCACATCGACAAGTAAAGGACACAAAAAATTAATTGACGTCTGGTTTGATCAGCGTCAAACTTACAAATATGTCATCTTGTTGATAATTGCCTATTAAGTGTCTAAATATGGAAAACATAAATAACTTCACTGTCCTGATGTATTTGCTACTACAAAAGTATTGGAATTTAAAGAACAGAATACCTCTAACAAAATTAACAATATCAATGAGCCCTCGTCTTCATCTAACCGATTAATAAGATGGCACAATAGCTATATAGTCTCATTGTTTTTACTCCAACCAACGAGCCTTTAAAGGTTAATTTCTCCTAAAAGTATTGTTGTCATCTTTTGAATATAGAATGAATCATGTTTAGAATGCTGCTGTATGTGAAGGCACGTCAAGACATCGGTAAAGGTCGATGCAGCTCTGTTTGAAAACAAACATTGGAATTGAAAAGGAAATTAATTTCTTAGATAACTTTTATCCATCATTTTCCATTATTCACCAAAACAATATCACGAGAAAATGATAAATAATTAAAATCTTCCGTCCGTCTTTACGTCCCAAAGTTGGTTTCCGTTCTCTAACTTTAGTTTGCCTCAACCAAATGTTATGAAACTTATACAGAATGCTTATTACCATAAAACACAGATCAAGTTTGAATTTTGGTGACTTCACTGTAACCGTTCTAGAGTTATGCCCCTTTACAAATGGAAAAATTCCTGAATTTTTCGTTTCCGTTTTCTAACTTTAGTTTGCCTCAATCAAATGTTATGAAACGTATACACAATGCTCATTACCACATAATGTAGATCAAGTTCGAAATTGGGTGGCGTCACTTTTACCGTTCTTGAGTTATACCCCTTTCTAAACATAAAAACTGCTGAATTTTTCGTTTCCGTTCTCTAACTTTAGTTTACCTCAAGTAAATGTTATGAAACGTATACACAATGCTTATTACCACATAATACAGATCAAGTTTGAAATTGGGTGGCGTCACTTTTACCGTTCTTGAGTTATGTCCCTTTATAAACATAAAACTGCTGAATTTTTAGTTTCCGTTCTCTAACTTTAGTTTACCTCAACCAAATGTTATGAAACTTATACACAATGCTTATTATCACATAATACAGATCAAGTATGAAATTGGGTGGCATCACTTGTACCGTTCTGGAGTTGTGTCTCTTTATGAACATAAAAATTGCTGAATTTTTCGTTTCCGTTCTGTAACTTTAGTTTGCCTTAACCAAATGTTATGAAACTTATATACAATGCTAAATACCACAAAATACAGATCAAGTTTGAATTTTGGTGGTGTCACTTTTACTGTTCTAGAGTTATGCCTGTTTACAAATGGAAAAATTGCTACTGTTCTCTAACTTAAGTTAGCCTCAACCAAATGTTATGAGACTTACCATGCTTATAAACAATACTTATTACCACAAAACTCAGATCAAGTAAAAATTTGGGTAGTGTCACTTTTACTGTTCATCAGTTATGTCCTTTATAACTTTATATGATATGCAAGCAGGGGCATCATCTGTGTCCCATGGACACATTCCCAGTTATGTCCTTTATAACTTTATATGATATGCAAGCGGGGGCATCATCTGTGTCCCATGGACACATTCCCCATTTATTTTATTATCAATTGATAAATATGGCTCATTAACATCAAAAAGTGGTCTACCAACTTGAATGCAAAATAGCACATTCAGGTGAAATGATGCAGAAAAAATTTATCTTTACCCCTAAAAATCTCTAAAAGTTTCAATTTTCAATTTTAAAAATAAATTCTCATGAAAAATTGATGTGAAAAATAGAATTGAAAACAGTATACCCCCGTTGAACCTCTATAAATGCAACATAAATATCAAAATGCCACTTGGAACACACAAGGAGTGATCTGACATCCTTATTTTATCAAAAGAATCATACAGTTTGTTTCCTTTATACACTTGAGACTGCTAATTTTGCGTTATTTTTGCATTTTCCATCCTTTAATAACGCCACTGATTTTGGCATTTGGCGGGAGATTGATGTCACAGATGTGACCAACATATGGAATGCTGTAATTAAATGCAGGCAAAGTTCATTCTCTGGCCAGACAGTCTTAAATAAGAAAATAATAGCAGTAGCAGCTAAAAATCATAATTAAAAAAAATACGACCCGTTATGTGTAAGATACACCCCTATGGTCGTTAGACCGATTGGGAGTATCTGATTCACACCAAGCTATTCTGATAAATGCCAAAGGGAAGCTTTAAATAATTTAGGAGAGGGTCTTTCAGTAATTTGATTTTTTTTTTATGGTTAAGCATGTCAAATGCAGGATATCCAATTACATTTCATGACATCCATGACATCTCGGTAAAAATACAAATGCTGAACATTTAGACGACTCTTTTGTTTTGGTTTTCATACTGATAATTTCGATTCTAATTCTGTACCACCTTATGATTTTAATTAACACGTCAATTATCAAGGTCTTGGTATACATTGTACATTTTGGACCAGTAAGTTTTATGTAGGAATTCGGATACCGGAACAGGCGATGAGAAATGATCAGAAATCCTGTTTACGCTTTCATGCCGATTATGAAGATATTAAATATCTTTCATAACTTCATTTTCTTAGATAAAATGTTGTATAATATTTCAATACCATGAACAATTTAAAAGATAAAATTGATAAATATACCAATTTCACTTGAATGTTGATTGTTTAGACAAAGGTCATGTTATATTTAGTCTACGGATTTTATGTGCTTCGTTTTACTGTTTTCTGTCCATAATTCTGATCATTTATCTTGGGATTTGAAATTTCATTTTGTGCCTCGAATGTTTCAAAACTCTTTTCAAGTGTTTTTTTCTTTCAACGTGTTTAATGATACTAATAGTAATAAGAATGATAATGATAAACAATTATTATCGATACTATTATTATTCTTATTTTTAATGGTATTCGGCCTTTGTGTATGAAGTTACATGGCTGTTGTACGTATGGTGCAAACTTGGCCGTGTTTTATACGATTTTATTTAATTGATAGAAAAGAAAGCATACAGTGTATAAATTCATGAGAAAAAAATCGGATAAAATGCATACTCATTTAATAAACAAACTTTGCGAAATCTAGCATTATGAATTTCCATTCTTAAATGCTGTAAGTATTAGATACACCTATGAGGGCGTTAGCCTGATTTGGTGTATCTAATTTACACCAAGATATTACTGTCAATGTCACAATTTAGGAGGGGACTTACAGCGATTTGACCATATGTTATTACAAAACATGATAAATGCAGGGTATCGAATTTCGTTTAACGACATCTTCGTGTAATAATGGATGCATTACTTTTACTTTCAGATGCTGGTATTTAGCTATATCTTTGGTATTGCCTGGGTTCTCCTGACTGCCATTTTTGGAGTCCCACTTTACCTTCTCATAAACATTTTGATCATTGACGTTGATCAAATAAATCTAGTCAATTACGGTAAGTTGATCATGTGATGAAAGTCAATTACGGTAAGGTGATCACGTGATGAAAGTCAATTACGATAAGTTGATCACGTGATGAAAGTCAATTACGGTAAGTTGATCATGTGATGAAAGTTTCCTAGTCAATTACGGTAAGCTGATCATGTGATGAAAGTCAATTACGGTAAGATGATCATATAATGAAAGTTTCCAAAATGGGAAATAAAACATCCAAAGAGGAAACTGTTCCAGTCACAATATAGAAATAAGGAGATGCGGTATGATTGCCAATGAGACAACTTTCCACCAACGACCAACGGACGAGGAAGTTAATAACTATAGGCCACCGTACGGGCTTCAACAATGAGCAAAACCCATACCATATAGTGAAGATATAAAACAACCCGGTATGACATATTTTTACAGCTTTTCACACCAAGACAGTTTAGTTTAGTGTTTTAAGGACATGAAGGAGTTGTTTGTACCTAAATGCTTCAGATTTTGAAGTACGCATTTACTGTACCAAGTTTGAAATATGACAGTTGTGTTTGAGCTTTTGATTTTGCCATTTGGTAAGGGACTTTCCGTTTTGAATTTTTCTTGGAGTTCGGTATTTTTGTTATTTTACTTTAACTGCTCAAAGAATACATTAGTTAAAGTACGTGAAAATGCAAAAAATGTAATATATTTTTAATTAAACTACTATCATGTGATAAATGATAAAATGTAATCAGGAGTCTGTTCCTTGATAACAAGGTTAATTGCATCATTGGATGCCTTTTAAAAGCATTTGTTTCGTGAATGTTGTATTTCTGATCATAAATGCAGATATCAGGCTGATGAAAAATCAATACGAGGCCTTGTCGTTGTTGTATACAGTTCTGGATCCGTATATTGATCGGCGGAATTCCCCAAAGTAGTATATTGAAGATGAGCTCTACAGATTGTTAAATGACTATCAAACTATCGATAATATAGCATTATAAATGCTTGATGCTATCTATAGGGATTAAACTGGTTCTACCAGGGACAATAACACATTCACAGATCTGGTTTTAATTTAATTGTACAAGAAATTTCTAAAGAAATCATACTATTATTGTGAAGTTATTAAAAAAAAACAAAAAACAAAAACGGATCTAATACTTTTGTTTTTTTGTCTCGCGTCGATGAAGTCGAAAAGGGGAAACTTAGGCGTGATGTTTCCGGCGTCAACACTGTATTGGTTTGTGATTAGGTCAAGTTTATCATGTTTATTGGGAACCATTAGTGGTAGGTCAATGATATTTTGTAATCAGTTGTATTCGCATTGACACATATCATTTCCATGGAGATTATTTGGCCCCGCCCCCTCAGTCATGGTCTATTGAATTTGAAACTTTTGCTTAGTTTACATGTATTAGTTTTGTGATTAGGTCAGTTAAAGGGGAACCATTAGTGATATGTCTATGATAATTGGTATGTAGTTGTATAAGCATTGACACATCTCATTTCCATTGAGATTATTTTTCCGCGCCCCCTCAGTCATGGTTTGTTGACTTTGAAACTTTTGCTTTGTTTATACGATGTATTAGTTTGCGATTAGGTCAGTTTAAGTGGAAGTACTAGTGGTAGGTCAATGATATTTGGTATGCAGATATATTAGGATTGGCACATCTCATGTTCATGGAGATTGTTTGGCCCCTCCCCCTCAGTCATGGTTTGTTGACTTTGAAAGTTTTTCTTAGTTTACATGTATTAGTTTGTGATTAGCTCAGTTTGAGGGGAAGTGTTACGTGGTAGATCAATGATATTTGGTATGCAGATGTATTAGCATTGGCACATATCATTTACACAGAGATTGTTTTGCTCCTCCCTCAGTCATGGTTCATTGACTTTGAATGTTTTGCATTATTTACATTTCAAAGTTTGTGATTAGAACAGTTTAGGATGAACTACTAATGTTAGTTCAATGATATTTGGTAAGCAGTTGTATTGGCATTTGCAATTCTCATTTCCATGGAGATGATATGACCCAAAACCCCTCATGGTTCATTGAGTTTGAAACATTTACATAGTTAACAATTAAAGTATGTGCTTAGGTTTGTTGAAAGGGAACCACTAATGATAAGTCAACGGTATTCGGTATGCGTTTTTATAAGCATTGGAATTTCACATTTCCATGGATGTTATTTGGCCCTGCACCTTCAGTTTTTGGTTCATTGACTTTGAATGATTTGCATAGTTTACATTTTTAAATATTGCCATTTTAACATTTGCATTATACAGTTATACCATCAAAATTACAAAACACGACACGTATCTCTGTGTCAGCAGTGTATTAACATCTGTTTCATATGATATTTCGCGTTTGTGAAGTACTTCTTTGACTAATAAGCTGCAATATATTTGCCGATTGACATTCAATCGAATAAAGAGCATCTGTGAAGGTATGGCATTAAAGAGACAAACCTATCAACATTAAAAAACAATCTAGAGTCAAACCAGCCCTGCAAAAATTATTTATATAAAATACTATATATATATATGCATTTGAATTCGGATTATTACCACAATTTTCGTGAAAAATACTATCATAACATTTAGTTGTCAGTAAATGTAAAAAAACATGAATAACATAGTTTTTGCTTAATCTGAAATAATCTTAGTTTTTGAAAAACGATTAGAAAAAAAATAAAATCTAGCGGCTTGAACATAACACATTTTTAGATATATTTACCTCAAGAGCAGATATTTACATCTCAGATTGTTATTTGCGATGTATACCGCTACATTTAGGGCAGTCACCAACCCTACTTCAAAAATAACCAAAAAGCAAATGAAAAGATACAAATATGCACAATTTAGCTGTCACAGATAATTCAATTTTCCTTGATTTGTTAATCTGTTAAACATATGAAACAATTATACTAACAAGATATTGTATGTCCATTAAACTTTGATGTGTTTTGAAATTTAAAAAAAAAAAAAATACGATGTAAGATTAAATTGAAATATAAGTTTATAAAATAAGATTTAGTTCGTGTTATTTATAACGTTTATGCTAATTCTAAGCTGAAAAGTCTAGACATTTAATGCTAATGTTGTCTATGCCATAAAATTCTAGATAATGAGGTGATCAAAATGTCAAAAGCATTCAAATTTATTTTTTTGCTATTGAAGCGTTTTCATGATCGACCTTTTGGTTTAAAGTGAAACCATGACGATTTTACATGTACGTGTAATAAAAAAAAATATTTCATTCTTTTTATTTATAGGTTTGCAGGATAAAGTATTTTCTGGAACAGACTTTGACGACTTTCTGGTTGAGGTAAGAGTCGGCTGTACAAACATTTAGAATTATCAAATATGACACATCTATTGCACTTTTCATACAAAGAGGGGTTTTTCTTAATGTCATTACCTTAGGTTGTGTCAAGTCGGGTATATCTCCTGTACTTTATGATTTTGTAAAGTTTCCGTCAAATGCTGGTTGGGAATAATCATGAAAAGTTTGGGATATTGTATTGACACTTGTTTATTGTAGAAGACCAGATGATGACTTTAACGTGTCGTTAGATAACTCTCTCATTGTTGTGTGCCGGACTCGCGCTTCCTTGTTGGCAAAGTAACATTTGACAGTCAATACCGTTGTTGTCATAGTTACATTTGACAGTCAAAACCTTTGTTGTCATAGTTACATTTGACTGTCAACACCGTTGCTGTCATAGTTACACTTGAAATCAATACCGTTGTCATAGTTACACTTGACAGTCAATTCGGTTGTTGTCATAATTATACTTGATTGTCAATACCTAAGAAAAATCTTTTATAGAGCTTTAAAATTTAGAAGAAATTCATTTTATCTGTTTACAGTTTTATTGAATAGAAATATATGATATCAAAAGTCTATATCAAAAAGTAACCGACATACATGGATTACAAGAGGCGTAAACTACTACTGGGTAAACAACACTGTTTTTCATCTATTCACAGTTAACTAAGTATTATTTTTAAAATATAGATATTGCAAATTGACAACTGTTCCCAGGCTAAGAATGACAGGTTACATCATATGTCTTTGGGTGGATTCTTCAGTGTAAATAGAAAACAAAAAAGTGAACTAATTTTTGAAATTTGTCTCCTTTAATTGGAAAATTAGGAATAATTGTGTAAAAGATTGCAAGGTCAAACGTTTTATAAACTGATTCGCTCATACTAACGTAGCTAAATTATAACCGTAGAAAAACGGATTTTAAAAAATTTACTTATTAGAACGTTTGTGCAGAAACAAATGCAATTGCCTTTTTTACACAACATGTTTTACTAAGGAAACAATAATTTAAGAAACAACACCACCTTTAATCTTAATAAAATTCCGGTGAAACCAACATCAGGATTTTATTGATAATCTATTTTTTTTGTGTTTGTTTGAAATGTGTTACAACAGACAATCGGCATTTGGTCACACCCTAACCACTGATCTTTAAACAAAGAACACCATTACTAGCACAAAAACAACTTTGTCTGTTTTAATACATTGACTTGCGCCATGAAATTAACAATTAACATAGAGGTCATTTTCCAATATTGAACTTTCCATTTTTATACACAAAATATTCCAGCAGCAGTATTCTTCCAGTTAATTATATATGCAAGACCTTGTGATTCCTATGGTTTGTGCTTACAAAGAAGACACTCATCTAGTGGGTTTTGATAATAACGTTGAAGTAATCACTATGTACATTTTGAAATCACCATCAGAACTTGGTTAGCTGTCCCCTTTCATTTGTAAATTTAATGTTACCAAATTCAACTCGTTACTGGTCTCACTTATATTTTGAACATAACTTTCTGCCCTTCCCCAACACTATAGTTCAGCAAAGTTTGTTGTTTGGTTTGTGATGTTGCCCAATATTTATGTTTTCTGTGTAGTTTGTGGAGTGTTGTCTATTTTTCATTTGGCGACGATTTGGAATCATTTATGATAACTTTGTAGAGTGGATGGTTTTCCTATTTTGGTGGTCGATATTACAGGACTTTTCACAACCAAATGTACACCTTTCACTAATAAGTCCAGTTCTGACGCCGGATAAGACTCATTGACGACTATAACACATTGTCGGACGTTTCCACAATGTCACGTGTTCCTCGTGCGGAGCAAGGTATTCTTTCCTCTTGTCACGTTAGTTTCCACATTGCTATTTGTGTATATGTTTTTGTTTTGTGAGTATTTGTGTGCTGTTCTTTTGTGTTAAGTTTGGCACCGCCTAGAATTGATATATCGACCTTTGACATTTTGATAATTTGTTGTATAAGAGAGGCTAAAGATACCAAAGGGATATTCAAACTCATGAGTCAAAGTCAAACTGACAACGACATGACAAGAAACGAAAAGATAAACACCAGTCTACAAACAAAACAGAAAACTAAAGACTGAGCAACACAAACCCAACAAAAACAGGGAGGGAGGACTCTCCGGAACCGTAATCAGAGTCGTTCTTATTCACAGTTCATTCCTTGTATACTGTCCACGTGAACATAACAATTGTTAAATGGTAGAATGCATTTGAAGGTGATTCATATGTTGAACCTCACTAAGAGACTTGGTCAGTATTTAGTATCAAATGTTATGTAGCGAACCACAATTACTGCGAAATCAGTAATAACGATCTGTGGTGTTGCAAGCAAATAATTCTGAATGATACAAATATTGTATCTTCAAACATAGCAGGGTTATAGATAAAAATCCGCAGCTAGACACGTGTTAATCAAATATTATCTTTGTATTTTAGGCGGATCGCTTATTGGTCATCTACATTACCATCTTTGTATCATCCATTTTGATCACAGTTAGCATGGTAAGTACCTAACACAGACAGACACACACACACTCACACGATTTAAAATATTGTCCTTATCCTTACATCAGGATATGAACAGATAAAAGGATTAATAGAGCCTTAAAGCAGTATTTCTTTTAATGTATATACATTTGTTAATTAACTAATTCCCAGATGAATAAAATAAAAAAAGTACTATTTTTGCTGATGTATTAAGAACAAAGTAGAGACAACGGTAGTTTACGTATGTTTAGATTGTTATATAGAAGCTATAAAACTTATATGGCGTAACACTTTTCTTCGTACAAGGGTATTGTTTTATAAAAAAGGGAAACAGCACGAAATCCCAGGGTCTTGATACACAATAGTAATCACTTGAATTAAATGTTAAAAAAAACCAAACCTGAGGAACAGCGATTAGCATATATACCCTGGCAGACTTTTCCTTGAGAGTACTGTTTAAATGACCAGCTGTATGAAAAGTGATTATGTTAGTTTAGCTTAGACCTCCCTATCTGTGAACATCCTATTTTATTCATTTTAGCATGTGAATCATACTATTATATTTTTGTTTTTCTTTCTGTAGTTTCTTATTCGACGCTGGCATCATATACCAAGTTTTAACGACATATATTGCAAATTACAAGAATATGTAAAATCATGATATACAAGTAGGAGTAAGTCTGCATGTAAGGTCCCTCAGGTCAATAGTTTGGTGTATCACCGTTCTGTTTTGTAAAATGTTATTAAAAAAGACAAATAAGTGAAAATTTGTTTTATTCCAAACAATATTGTGTTTAAAAAAAGTGACCATAATGTTTAATGTTGTCTTTCATTTAACGTGTATTACAGGAAAGTAACAGTTTAATACAAACAATTGTTAATGCTTTAAAAAATAACGATTTACATATAAATGATTTAGTGTCGGTGTTTTTCAGTGAATAATAATTGATATATGATTTAGAGGAACGAATATAAAATAAATATTTATGCAATCGATCCTATTTTGATATTGTAAGATGATATGATTAATGCGCTATGCATAGGATTTGACCTTGGAGTCCAAAGTTTTATCAGATAACTGTCTGAAAAGCAATACATGATCAAGGCACTCATCAGGTTGTAGATAAAATAAAACGACATATGTAATAACCCAGCCACTTTCTTTTGTAAAATATTGTTGCATGTTTTTATATTGATGTGTTTATCTCTGTGTACAGTGTAAAACATTGTTTATCTTTTTTGGATCACCATAAAACAGTATTTATAAGTATTTACAGTATGATCAAGTGAAGTGTACTTCCATGAAACCTATTTTATATCCATATCATATATTCAGACATGTTTTTTCTGCTCAATAATACATTGAACTTGTGTAATTAAGGGAGAAACACCAGACACTTTCAGCAGTTTGCATTAATATAGAGAAACATGTTAGCTCTTTTCCTCAATTTGTTTGGATCATCATTATAATTATGTACTAAAAAAAGTAAATTACTGTCGAAGACAAACGATTAGACTGGCTGGTATAGCTGGTATGTACATACCAAGCCTAAGCGGTAGATAAACTGCTACCAATAAGTCTTTAAAATTGACAGTGAAGTTAATTGATACAGTATAAATGTATATTGCGGTACAATGAAATTCAATTATGACATTGTAGTTAATTGATACAGTACATATGTATATTGCTGTACCATGAAATTCAATTATGACATTGTAGTTAATTGATACAGTACATATGCATATTGCTGTACAATGAAATTCAATTACGACATTGTAGTTAATTGATACAGTACATATGTATATTGCTGTACAATGAAATTCAATTATGACATTAAAATAACATAACATCTCATTCATCTGTTCTCTGGAAAAAACTAGATCGATTCGGTTACAATTGAATTCAACGCAACATCCTGCATAAGCCAGCCATGTGTAAGTTCGTTTATTGCGTTATTTGAAGCACGTTCGATTAAGTTGTTTATGCATATATTATTGGAAGTGAAATCTCTGAAATGATCCTTTTTTTGGTTGGTTAATGTATAAACCAGCCACTAATGAGGCTTTATTACTGTTGCATATCATTGTTTGAATGTCACAGTAGTCAATAGAAACAATACAAAGGAAAACATGTTGTGCTGTATTAATTCATTTCACAGTTAGCAGCACTGCTGCATTATTTGGATTGCGAACGCATTTTCTTTTTTATATCATTACCGATAATATTCATCTGTTGCATTTCATATATCAATGATTGTGCAAAAAGTGGCATATATTTGGATCAAGTATATGTTGTTTATTTGAATTTTATGTTGAATCCACCAAGTTTCTGTCAAAAGAAATTTTAAAAGGAAGCATTACGTCTAATCAAGTGGTTTTGACTTGGGGCCTTTTTCAGAACAAAGGACTCTTTAAACCTACTTCGCTTACCCAGGTCGACTGTTCTAGGTAAATAGTTAATGGACTTCGCAAATCTGACCTATTAAATTGAAAAAAAAAATATATGTGTACTTGTTGAAAGATACAGGTTCAAGAGGGATATTATAAGCCTGGTATCGTTGATGAGTTGTTTTTTTTGTAACTAAACTGGAATGAATCAAGGTAAACAATTCGTAATTGCACAGTTTGCAGCCATTTGATTTAAAACTATTAATTCTTGCTAACTTATTGGTAAAATTGGGTAAATGTATTTACAGTAGACTAAAAGATACGAGAAAAATACTTGAATGAATTTACATAATTTTTAAAAGTTATGATTTATTTGCAGATTCACTTTTTGATCGTCATTAGTTCTAATTTGACACATCTAAAGGATACACGACTTGCCACCTTGAATGCCTACGCCGATCATACAGAGATGCAGAATTCCAAGCACTCCGTGGTTGATACGACAATGTGACGTTACGTTACCATGGAAGGGACGTTTCTCTGACATCCAGTCTTTTATTACGGCATTGGGACAGTTCGATGGATGTGCTCTGGTTGAGGCCACATGCTATTTATTTGAAAATAAAAAAAAGTATATTGCTCAATGAGCATTACAATATCTATAATATTCAGTTATACAGATGTCTTTACAATTTGTAATACCATAAAGAAAAACTTCATATTTGCAATGTGCATGTGACCTCACCTTCTGATTATTATCCTCGAAACATTTATTTCAGAATTTTCAAGAAATATATTTAAGGAGTCGTTATAAGAAACTATATGTTGATATACGCGATGACAATGTATCTTTGAATTTATATACTAGAAAGTAGAAATGAACACTTGTTTGCCTGTCATATTACCATATAACAAGATAAGTATGTGATTAAAGAAAGATAACTCGTATTGGCTATTAGTGATCTTTTTTTTTATTCGCAATCAACAAAAGAAAAATTGAACAAACAACCATATGCCTGTGTCAAGGACTGGATCATTTCCATATGATCTTTAACGTTCCCTTTCATGTAAAGAAAACTTGCAGCTTAGTGTGCTTTATAGTATTCTGTTTTCTTTGCAATTGTCAGGACACATTATAGGCATATGTTGTGGTTCTTTTTAAGTGCAATAGTAGAAAAATCTTCGTATTGTCATATTCGAAATTTATGTTGGCTTGAGGGAAAGTCTAGAAATTCGGTAAGACCTTTATGATTTTCGAAGGAACGGACTTGGGGAATCAATCTTATAACAAAAAATTATTTAGGAAAAGTTTTGACAAATTTTGAAGTACACTAGACTTAAAATTTTATCGAAACTTTCCTTTACGATTAAAAAGAAAATTGAAGGATCGGGATTTATAAAAACAAAACAAAAAAAAATTGTAATAGTTATCAATTAAACGAACCACATAATTTAGAAAGATTATGCAAAGGTTTCGAATTTGACAAAATGTTGTAGTGTAACAAATTAAGTAAAGAGTTGCTTCTGATTGTAATAGGTATTGTATTTTATAGTCTTTTTAAATAATTCTTTTTTTGAAAATACCTTGTATTTTGAATCTCATATAAAAATTCTTGTGTTAGCTTTTCATTGCCATTGGTCTGTACCTTTTTCCTTGTATCATATTATGCAATTTAAACATATTTAGTTGTACGTTTTGAAATTTCTTATAAATAAATACATTTTACAACATTATATTAAGAATATATTTATACTTAATTTCAATGGTCATCTTGTTATAAAATATATTCAAGTTTTATTAAAATACACACATGTAGTAAATTTTTAATTTGAATTTGGTTTTTGAAATATATACATAAACTAGATTGTAAACATGAAAAATGTGGCATTGTCTTTAACACCATTTTGGCTGTACGTTAAAAGCTGTTGTTATATAGATCAATAGTATAATGAGGTAGAAAATGTTATGAATTATGTTTATAAATGATAATTGACATAAACACATGACATTTTCAGATATATACATATTGACTTTTTCTTATTTTGTTTTGTTATAAAATAGGCAGCTAAATTTACAAGACTACTCTTTACAACTGTAATAAGTTCGTTAAAAATTTTAAAAAAGTATTTTGGAAACTAATCTTGAAATACTTTTTTTCTCCCGTTTAAACTTTTTATATGAAATAATATATAAATATAAAAAAAGTTGGATGTAGCATATTTCAATGACTATTTTTAAAACCTTCTTTTGATTACAAAATTAAAATAGTTTCAAATATTCAAAATAATTTTACAGCTGTAAAGAAGTCTTTTGTGAATTCCCGAGTGTAAATGTTCAGGACGCAAATTTGTCTCTTTCCAATTAAGTGTAAACTGTGTATTTATATTATCCAGCACATGTACAGATATATGTGTTTGTCTGTGTGCTTTAAGTGTGTATGCATTGTGAAACAATGTACATTGCCTTTATATGTTACAGAACTAGTAGTGTAAGCATTTACTGAGTTTATAACTTTATGAATTGATATTTTATTTTGAAAAAGGAAAAAAAATGAAGTGATACTAGCTGTTAAATTGTTGTCTTTGAAAGGGTAATGTTAACTTTATCTGTTGTAGAAGTATTTAAACAAGTTAAATCAGGAAAATAATAGTTATGCCCCTTGGGGTAATTTCTGTGTAAGAAAATGGCAGTTGTTTAAGTTTAATCTAATATGACTAAAATTCAGGAAAATTTCAATTTTAAATTCAAATGTTATGTAAATACCCAGTACTTGTTACATTTGTTGTTTGAGGTTAAAGTATTTGTTTTCAAGTTGTTATCTAGAAATACCTAAAGGGGATATTTATTTAGATATCATATTGCTGCACGTTATTCTTTGATAATTAAAGCAAACAAATAATTGGTAAATGGAATTAAGGAAGAAAAAAAATGATCTAAAAATTTATACGTAAAATGAAAATATATAAAATAGATTTCATTGTAACTGTTATTTTTCAATTACTTTAATCTGAACGTTATAGAATATAGAGAATGTTTAAAATAAAAAATTCAATGAAGAAAAATCTAGACAGTAATGTATGAACTAAAGACCATCAAAGATAATGAAATAAATTTTTATACATATTACATGGAATGTCATGTAGTTGCTTGCAAGGCAGACTATATAAAACTCTTAAATGATCAAAGTCAAATTAAATTGATAAAACCTCGTGACACATGGAGGTGGATATAGGTAATGGAAAATAACTTCTTTATGACGTGAGGATAAGAAATAAATAAAAATGAATAAATATGCAGACTCAATACTATTTATAACGTTGTGTATATGTTCCTGTTAAATTGACATCATTCTTACCTTGTTAAAGTACTAAGTGCCAGTCTTTATGTTTTTATTCTTAATCCTAAAATTTTTAAATGCATACATATTAATTGTTGTTTGATATTGTAGTATTGTTAAAGTACACTTGTTATTTATTTAAAATGGGTAGAATTGACAGATTGAAATGGATAAAATGTTCATGTTGACAATAATTTATTACTGATGTAGTTGAGATAAATAGATACTTCCGTGAAAATTATGACAAATCATACAATGAAGCAATATCCATCACATAAACATACACCATTACAATGTTTTAATTCATTAGTGAAATAAACAGCTGTAAATCATGTATACTAACACCTCTTTAAATCAACACCCAAACTATAGGTTCAGACATGATAGTGTACAACACAAGTTCATATTATGTATTTTTCAGATATCATAGCTGCAATTTACAAGACTTGAGTTAACAATATTTCCACTAAAGATACTAGATGAACAAGTAGAATTACAGAGCACAATCAACAACTCAAGAACAAGAAGCTAAAAACCCTACCAACATATCATTGTACAAAATTATAACACCAAACTCATTGCGACTTCAAACATTTGAACGGAAAATCATATTAAAAGAAAAATCAATATTTCATAGTCGGGATAAAAACACTGATAAAACATTACTATGACCATATATTCAAGACAAATTGCAAACTTCACAAGGGAAACAGACTCATTATTATCTTTCATCATTTTCTCATTTTAATTTTATTTTATTATAACAATTATAGTTAGATTAAGACATTTTGGTCTTTTCTCTATTTTCATAGAATTGAGATTAATAGATTTATTTATGTATGGTAAATAAAGTGTTCAATGTCTAAATTGTTACTACTTGTTCTTTCTTGCGGTTACTAGAAAATTTACTCTTGTTTAACCAAAAAGAATGAGAACCGTTAGTCCCATGTCTCACAATGTTAACAAAAAGATTTTTTGACTGAGAATTGCACTTATCATGTCTTGGAGCATTCTTGAAATACACTAAAAATACTTCTTCTTACTTGAAAATAAGCATTTCAAATATACTGTAAATGAATTTCCAATTCTCGAATTGGAAAGAAAAAAGAAGACAATACCAAAGGAGTACTTAAGATAAAAGGCAGAACAAAACTGAATACACCATTGTTAAGAGAAAAAAGACTTACAACAGTCATCAATACACTACGCCAAAAAACCGTGGTCGGACAACGGTGTTTTGATAGAGTCGGCTAAAGGCAGCAGTTCATTCTAGCATAAATGTCGTGAATATGACAGTTGTTTTCATTCTTTCCGTTGGTTGATATAGTCTTTACGGTTGATTTTGTCAGGTTTAATGGACTGCCTCCTTTTTGAATTACCTTTGAGTTTGATACTATTGTTTATATTTTCTACGCTAGTGATACTTGCCATGTTACTTCTGTTGTAACCCGTAACTGTTGATAGCCATATTCGTTGATAAAACTTCATATTGGTTAAACTATATTGTTTAACCTCAAGACATCACCAAATCTATAAGTCATCGGTTAATTAAATTCTATAACCCTAAAATTTACCGCGAAAGTTTTAAAATAAAAGACCGTTTTAGAAGTAGAAACATTGAAGACAATAAAAACTAAGCCAATAAAATATACAATACAGCACCGTAAACTAAATGAAGCGCAATATGGCACCCTTTAAACAAAATCAGGGATACTCTTGTAGCTTCTCGACCAGTTTCTACCGTAGTGGTGCTTAGTGCCAGTAAAACTCCCTTGGTAAGTCGCATGATATCATAAACAAGAAAACGAAGATGGAATTGTACAGCTGGAGCATATCACTGGTAATATGTGACGCAAATATTAATATGTTTCATCATTTACCTTGGGTGGAAATTGGTGAAACTTTAGATCCTTTTGAGGCAGTTATTTCTGTAACATATGGTTAAAAAGAACCATAGTACATTTTTTACTTGGAACTCTTGGTTCAATGGCTTCATTGTAAGCAGCAACCCTTTATCAAGAAACTCATGATAGGAAACACACGCTCTGGAATATCGTTTCAACTGGGAGATATATATGCCATATCCAGGCACTGCTGGAATGTTGTTAAGTTTTGTTTTGAACCGACCCTCATTGTCAATTTCTAGATGTAAGTCCAGACATGAGGCAGTCTTAACTATCTGTTGAAACTTTTATTTCAAGTTCGATTGGATAGATGCGTTATTTACACTTACATTGTAGTTTCCATAGGAATGCCGAATTTTGTTTAAGGAAAAAAAACACGTCCTCTCAACGATACAAATATGCCGTTAAAAAAATGTTTGTATCTACATTTGGCCATTCGTTTTAATAAAACAAAGTTGGACTAGTTTTTTTCAATTTGTCTTTGAGTTAAGAATGGGGTATACTAGGGTAAAGAGTAAAGAAGTCAAGAGGATAGAAACTTAAGAGTGTATGTATTCTAACAGATCTTTCGAATTAGTCGGTCTCTGCATCTGATTCACACCGCCACTAAAGTAGGTTGTTTCACAGTAACTCTGAAGTCTAGCTTTGAGTAAAAAATCTTCCTTTTTAATACACATTCAACAACAAAATATAATAAAATGTTAAAGTACCCTTTTCAAAAAAATTTAAGCTAGTAGTTGAATAATTTAATGTGTATGTAGAAATAGACAGGATCTAAACAGAACCATGATGAATACTTTTTTTTCTATTTAACGTCCTTCTCTCAATCTTTTCATCAACTTCAAACCAAACTTTTTTCCAACACTGAAATATAAATATGACAAAAGTAAATGCCAAAAAAATAAATAAATCGAACAAACCCTTATTTTGCAATAAATTCACACAAGAAACCAGCAGATACACCAAAAGAAAAGGAAATTGGTCAATTAATGAACCCAAACTATAATAGTTGTTATCACATAGTCCGTGTCTATGTATGTTGGCGTTTGTTTTTGTAGCAATTCAGTTTTTCTGTTGTTCCGTTTTGTTTCCTCTTATAGTTGATGTGTTCCCTCAGTTTTGGTTTGTGACCCGGATTTGTTTCAGTCAAATCGATTTATGACTATTGAACAGCGGTATACTACTATTGCCTTTATATATCTCTGTATATTATATATGGGAAATGTTATTACTCAGTATAATCTGCAAGTCCAATTCAATGGGAAATCAAATGTTTCTGCAGAATTCGTTGTGTGTAAAGTCCTTTCCCAAAGGTCGATTCCAGATGCAGAAATGAACCCAAACTATAATTCGATAGGAGCTACTTCTCTTCCCCAAGAAATATTTGTTTTCTGTCATAGAAAGCATTGGAGAAAAACACAAAACAAATTCTCACTTAAAAATAAAAAAATATTGAGTGCGTAAATGTCAATTCTGATATTAGACTTAGGTTCGTTGTAAAGAGACCTTATGTAGTTGTACAGCATTTATCTAAATCAAATATATGAGATTTAACATGATTAATCTACTTTTCATCACATTTCTGTATAACAAATGACATTGAATCCCTCATGGGAAGAGAATGAATAACTTACATATAATAATCAGAGATGAACTGACATCAGATGTGTTTATATGCTCATGGTTGTTTCGTTAAAATATAAACAATGCATATCACTATTGATTATATTAGTCAACAGTCTTTAATAAAACTTTGGGAAAATGTATTTATTCGCTGCATCCTGATACTACATATATATACATAAAAACAGGCTTACTTTGTTACTATTTTGACTCTTATAAACACAAATGTTAACCATAACACTTTTCTGCCAGTGAAGAGCATCTAGTGTGCATATTGTTATGCTCCTGTCTATACTTGTTGAGGGGAATTATTTTTCCAGTCTTTGTCCGTCCGTCCGTCAATATCAGGTTAAAGTTTTCTAATAAGGTAGATTAGATCATTTTGAAACTTAGTTCCCCTGTTCATTATGAAGTATACTGTTTCATATATATGCCCAATTAGAGTATTGACCCAGATTTCACAGTTCACTGAACATGGAAATGTGATGGGTTAAAGTTTTGGTTAAAGGTAGTTTGTGGTCACATGATGTCATCAACCTGAAACTTAGTACACATGTTAACTATCAAATGAACTGTTTGATATACATGTATATTCCAAATGAGTGTTCTGACCAAGATTGCACTATTCAGTGAACATGGTATTGTGATAGCGTGAGTACAACATGCTGGAATATGATTGTTTGAGTTTGAATCTTTGACTTATGTCATAGTATCTGTGATGTGTTCCTCTACAAGGCATCTATAAAAATTAAATAGTATACTTACAATTTCCCCAACACTGGGGAATACTGATTTGCATATGTAAGAAAAAGAACAGGATTCAAGGCAATCCAACATTCATCAAGTTTATTGGCTATTGCTATGGCACTTAATTCAGCACAACGTGTTGTTTTCATCCGTTTGTCAGTTGGCTCCATTTTCTGCTTTAGTACCTATTAATCAGCATAATAAATTTAAGCTTAAAGATCGTATCAAGTCGTCCTCTATATGTCACAAAAGTTATTCCGACAGAACATAACACAGTTATACAGCAATTAAATGCAGATTGTTTTAATGTAAATGCAGATCGTTTCAATGTTGAATTGTAGATGAATTAACCTGTTTTTTGTTAAATCTACACACAATCAAAATTGAAAATGTAAAAATACTCAACATTGCATGTGTAGCAACAATTGCGCAATCAATCAATAACCAATTAAAAGACATATTTTCAATGATGTTTACTGTATGTTCTAAATATTTATAATGTGAATAATATTTTTATTTGATAGTTTTCATACATTTAATTTATTTGATTCATAAATGACTTTGATAACATGCCAATATTGCGAAATGCGAACGATATACTGTTTTAACTAGGATAATCTGGACGATGAAGAGCTTGACTTATAAGGACATCTGTCTATTGTTGAAGACTGTATGCTGTCCTTTTGATGTCTTTTGTCTTTGGGCTGCTGACCCATTGACTTATGACTCATAATTTCTTTTTTATATTCACAGTGTTATTTGTGCACTTGTCATACAGTGTATCTCTTTTTAATCTAATTAATCCAATTAAATTTGCGGGTAAAATCTCAACTTCTATTTCATTGAACTACAACTTTTTATGGACAATGGCCAATACCTTTTTGGGGTTAACAGTGTGATTTGAAAAGAAAAATGACACACATCTGTTTATATCCAGTAACATCATGCGATCAAAATTCTGGCGATTCACTTCTTACCTTTTAATAAATACAGAGACATATAAACATTCCGGCAATTCATGCAAAGGTTCCATAAATGATCATTTAATTCTAGGTCAATTTGTTTTCGATCTATGAGTTTGACTGTCCCTCTGGTATTTTTCGTCCCTCTTTTCAATCAAAAATTAAATGTTATAATTAGATTAAAAGAGATATAATTACATGGAATAATTTAGATAGAATCAAGATGTGAAGTACACGCTAGTGCAACATCAACAAGTGTTCAGCCCCATTTTCCATTTTTCTTAATATGAGAAGACCCAACCAATAATGCAGCTTGATTTACTGTGATTTCACGGAGTTGCCAATCTCTGTGTACATATGTCTCTGAAAAATATTAGGTTCTATAAAATATATAACATTAACATATACAGTGTCAAATAACTCCATGTTCACATGTCACATGAAGAAAGTAACATTTTAAATTTTAAAGCTCCAACGATAACAGGGAGTATAAATCAGTGAACAATAATTATATTTACTTTTCCTGCTTCCCCTACGAAAGCAATATCCAAAAGATTTGAAAATACTGGTCCTGGGCACAGATTAGTGACTGCTATGTTGTTTTCTAGAACCTCAATTCTCAAGGCATCAAACCAACCCTGTAAAATGTATTTAATTAATGAACTGAACACATTATCTAGAGTCTAAAAATTAATCAAGAAAGTTTTTGCATATTTTTATCAGGAACAAGTTAAAATAAAGAAGACATTTACACTATCAGGGTAAACAAGAGGATATTTTATTATATTGTAAAGGAATACAGAAATATTTTAGGATGCATATAAATTTTAGAACTACTAAAATCCGACATTCGGTATCAAAACAAAACAGGAAAAAAAGATAGCAATTTAATTTCATTAAATACGGAATTACCTGGATTGCATGCTTAGCTCCAGTGTAAGATCCTGAAAACGGTGCCCCTGTAAAAAACAAACGGTCATCATTAGGATTCAGGGGCGGATTCAGGCGGGCGTGGCGGGCGTGCGCCCCCCCCCTAAAATTTGCAAAGCATGGGTTGTCCTCAGCAATAAAAGAATATTTCGATAGTTTTATCTAAAAAAAAATGAACTTTCCCCCCCCCCCCCCCCCAAACTAAAATACTGGATCCGCCCCTGGGATTCTTCAGATAACATTCAATATGATTCGTACACGCTCTTTATAAACATTGAAATGAACAATTACTATAAGAAATTTCCACTACACATCATATTTTTCATAGTATGTACATATTCAACGATTTAAATAAACTTGTTTTTAAATAGGTTTTGTTTAAGTAAGCTGTTGGTCTTTGAAATGAGTGTCAAAATACCATATATAAATCAACAGCTAAATTGGAGTTTAGTATTTTTGTTATACCTTTTTACATTTCAAAATCATGGTGTCAACTTTCAGTGACATATTTATTGTCACAGTTCACTTAGTAAATACATTTTTGTTAAAACTTGTGATTTGCTTTTGGTTCCATATTTAAATTGGAAATCCTACCAATGATTTGTATAGTCAGAGGTCTTACTATACAAATACTTGATCCTACCAAATCAATTTTCAAATTAGTCATTAGGAATATTAGAAATTGCCATCACATATTCAATTTGCTATCAACTTTTTTTTCAAACTCGTTTTAAAACAAATGTGAATCCTGAATTTTCCATCTAGATTTAAGCTAATGATGAAATAAGGTGTTCAAGACAACAAGTTGAAAACAGCTCGAATTCCTTCCATAAATTATGATCATAATAAATCCGTTTGATAAAATAATAGTGATAACTAATTTATAAAGTTATTTAAAATTTCTTAATTATGTTATATGCATCTTTTGTAAATTAAATTGTACCTATTTTGCCAGCAATACTGCTCATGTTAACAATATGTCCCTCATTCCTTCTGATCATATACGGTAAAACAAGTTTTGTAAGTGAGAGCACTCCAAGTACATTTACATTCAAAACTTGTTGGTCAATTTCTAATGCTGTCTTTATCCATTCAGCTCTCTGTGATCGTCCAGCATTGTTCACTAGAATGTCAATCTGCAGAAATAAAATGTAAACGATTCTAAAACTTAGTGATCGCCCAGCATTGTTCACTAGAATGTCAATTAGAATGTAAAATGTAAACGATTTTAAAACTCAGGTCCTATCAGAACCATCGCTAAAATATATGTCAATTGTCGAAAATGAAAATCATTTTTTTTCGGACATACAAACACATAATAGATACAGTAGCTGTGTACACCATTTCATCATGACTTCTCTTAAAGTTAAAGTTATTTGTTCACTAAAAATTTTTGTGATCATAATGAATGTCTGAATTAAAACAACAAGGAATATTGTTTTTCACAGCAAATGTATGAAAGAAAACGTGACATATTCTTGTGTTTTCTGAAAGCCTAAAAGTTTCCTCTGTATGCGAGTTTATTCTTGCTCAGGTACAAGTATGAAAAGGTATGAAGTATGACAAAAGAACAAAGAACGAATTCGTACGGTTAACTGAGGTAGAGAAGAATGGCCACCCCTTGGACTTCTCCCGTCCGGCAGTTAATTCCTCGTTAAAGTGGGATGTCCTTTTTGAATTTTGACTGTGAGGGATGTATGAATACGCAGTTATGTCGAGTCGGAATTGGGACGTTATATTCGATGCGTAGAGAACGGGCAATGCTCACTACACGTTAATGGACCTTTTACCAACTCTTTGATGGGTCCTTAGGTGACCTGTTGCATAGCACAATTGCTTTCTCTTATCCAACACACACTTATTTCGCTGTTCATCCTAGTAGTCGATCCTCTTGCAGAACCTTCATATTGCAATACTTGTTCACTTGTTCTCATCATCGATGTGCATGACATATATATTTGCCACTGGATTTTCAGCATACAATAATCATTCAATAAATTAACAGATATACCTAAAAATCTACATATTGCATATTGAAACATGTTCAGAAAAAAAAGAAACAAAAACAGCAGTAGCACCAAATAAAAAAGACGAGTTTAACAAGAGGGCAATACAAGCTACCTGATAAAGTAGCTTAAAGATACGAGGTTAGATTTTACAATGTACATATGGGTGTAGGTGTACATATTTTGTGAATTAATACATTTCACTAACCTGCCCAAATTTATTAATGACTTTCTCGACAGCTGCTGCATGAGTATCAAATTCTACCATATCTAACGGTACAACTAAAATATCATCCGCCTGTACACCCCCTTTCTCTAGAGATATAATGTAGAAACATGTAAGTATTACATACGTAGTTTCATATAAAAATTGCGGTACCTGTAGTATTACAAAAATGCGGTTTTCTGTTGATCGACTTTCTTTTGAAATTGTAATACATACACTTTTAATATTCAAAGTTGTGCTTAAAATTATAGTTATGCTTTTAATTAAAGTGTTGCTTTACTCTTTAATTTAGCTTTAAAATCATAGTGTGATTGTTTTAAAGCTTCAGTTTTATTTACACTTAAGATGTTCTAGTTGTGCCTTGCATGTTGTGTTGATATGCTATATTTATGTATTTTGATATACTGTGTTTAATCTTTTATCTGTTTTTCGAACGTGGCTGCGTATTTTTACATCCTGCAGAGTCAAACGGACGGCCCTCTTAAGCATGGAGTTTACAGCCGATGGGAGATGTTCAGGAGTTACCATATTTCTATATCCAATATAAAAAGATGATGTGGTATGATTGCCAATGAGACAACTCTCCACAAGAGACCAAATGACACAGAAATTAACAACTATAGGTCACCGTACGGCCTTCAAGTCTACCGTCCAGCTTTTTATAGAGAAAATATGTGATGTTTACATGCCAGTATTTACTCTAAAAGAGAGCTTACAAAATCGAAAAAAATAATATGTTCAAAAAGACTTCTCTCAGTAGTTCATTTATCACTGGCCTACTACTTCTTGTCCTATACAATTGACATTTAAAAACTTACCAATGCATTGTCCTCTGACACGCTCTAATTCGTCTTTTCGCCGAGCTGATAGAATCAGTTTGCAGCCCACTTTGGACAACTCATAAGCTAAACATTCGCCGATACCACTGGATGACCCAGTTATCCAGACCACTTTATTCTTTAAAGAGTCTAAAATACATATCACTTTACACAATGTGTGCATTTTAGAAACACAAAAAAAAAACCAATGACAAATGAACTGTTAGTCGAAATAATTATGACGTTTTGTAAGGCAATGTAAATTCTTGCTAGGATGCCTTCCTTCAAGAAAGTAAAAAGCTATACAAGACGCCATAATTATTTGGACTAAACATTAAATTTTGTTAATGTTATTTTGGTAACTTATGTCGTTGTGAAGCTTTCTCATGGACGTGTATCTCGCGTCTCATTTTATGCATATTTATCCTATTCCCAGATATATATTATATACCATTTCATAAAAAGGCGCATGTGTTACCAGAGTCAATAGGATTGTGCTACTTACGCAAAAAAAATGCTCAAAAAGAGTTATGAGGAAGCACAACTGAAATCGACAAGACATATGTTGTACGGTTACCATTAGAATTTGGAAAATTTTGTCTCAACTCACTAGCGCGACTTACTTTGCAGTCTTAGATCTTTAGGTACCAGAAAAGTCGTCTGATATAAAATGCTGCATCTCACATCAGACCGAAGATGGAACTGGTTTTATTGTTCCCTATTCTTTAGATTGTTATAAGAGGGTTGATAAACTAGTTCGCCTTTCTCCCTCATTTGCCTTTATTGCTCCGTTTCCGAAGTTGCAAGATAGCATTTTGTTTTAATCACAGAACGGTCTATGAAACTCATAATCGATCATGATAATTGCCCATAAACAAGAACCCTGCAGATGTTAGTAAAAACATATTTAAGTATTTGAAAATGTTGAATACAAAAGTTTGCCTCTCCATGTTTAAATATTATTATAGAACTTGAAATATGAAATTCTGCAAAGGATTTTGATCACTATCAACAACATTAAGACAGTGAGAACCCTACACGTCTTCATATCGACAAGATGATTAGTGTGTATATAAAAGTGAATATAAAGTCTTAAGACTGTTGCATGTAAAAGAAGAATAGTACTTGCATCCCTGAACTACATCTTCCTTCTACACAAGTACTTATTATGTACAAGTTCAACTTTTTTTACGCTAAAATATATTTGATATGATGAGCACACAGTTACAAGTTTATATAAGTATACATGTACAATGTGATACAATATTGTTATACGATCGATATTTTCTAACTTCAAGCACTTACTTGTTGATTTTCCAAATTTTTCAGCTATTTGAAGTAAAAGATCACAATCACCCAAGATAACCATTACTAGAGCTATGATGAACCATGTCAGCATAAACAAGAATATCAAATACAACCAGTCCATCATTTCAACTGGTCACTAAAATTGTGTAAAATTGTGTACATTTATATAAGTCAGAGTGATCACAGTCTACTTCCGTCACATTCAGGAAATTTCAGAAGAATATACTTCGCCTTACATATTGTAAATTTTGGAAATATGTATTACACGGATGACGACAATGACGATGACGACGACGAAGATGATAACGATGACGAAAATTATGATGGCTATTTACCATTCAGAGGCAAATTTAACAATCCTCAAGACAAAAACATGTTGATATCTGATGTTGATATGATATTAATATGAACCCTGGTTTGTACAAGACCAAGGAATTGAATCAAGGAATTGTATATTTAAATATACAATTCCTTGACAAGACTGACATGTTGAACCGGATTTTCAGCGTGCTAGTTCACAAGTTCACAATCCACAGGAAGATATGCATGATGTCTTGCCCGGACATATTATTCTGACTTTTCTCGTACGGCTAAGCGGAGAAGCAGCAATTTCCAATTTCAAGTTTTTTGGTTTTACCTGGTAGGGGATCGAACCTACGACTTTCTGCACTCAATGCGAGTGTACATGCTAATTAAATAGACCACCGCCCAGTGCTCTAATTCTACAAGGAAGACTATAGCTTTTACAAAACAACGTAATTTAGGTAAATTTCGAAATTTTTCACAAGAATTAATATCAGATATGTTTTAAATAGTATAACCATTTAAAATGTACTGGTATTCAGTTGCCATAGGCGGCTAGGCCGACATTAGTGGTTTGGTAATTATATAAAATCTAATAAAATCATTGAATGAATAAACATGTTCGTTTTGCCCGTGTGTGTAGTGATGTCATAGATTTTAACGAACGTAATCAATGCATCACTGGTAAATTATTAAGTCAGGGATTTCGTTACCATAAATTACTTAAAACATTTACTAAATTCTTTCATAGATAACAAGATTTGATAATTAAATTTGGCTGTACCTGTAGAAAACTTTTTAAAAACGGTATTTTACATCCTAAATTTTACGGTAATATTGTACTAAAAGAAAGTCGTAACGGGGAAACCTTCATGACGAATAACGGTAAAAAATCTTCCCAAAGACGTTTTAAACGGTAATTTTTGGTGCATGACGATAAAATGTACACTTTCTTTAAGACGATAAAAAATCGACTGATTTTGACGAATCACGTTAAATTTTTTCCAAAAATAACGGTAACGAAACTTGAATCGCATGAGTGTACCTGGGACAGTGATGCTATTGTTTGTAATAACTGCGATAAATGGTGTCATATTGGATGTGTAAATATAAGTCCATCTATGTATGAAAAATTTGGAAATTCATCAGCACTTTGGATATGCCCGATATGTGATACTCCTAATCACTCTAGAACCATTTTTCAATCATACCTCTCATCAGGTAATTCTATTTTGAACCCTAACTCATATTCAGTACTTTCTGATAGTTCAGCTTTTTCCTTAAGCTTCAATATAAATGATAATCATGAAAATTTTGGAGACCCAGTTGCTACATCATCACCAAAACCACCAGTAAAGAAGCAACTAAAAAATAAGAATATTAATAGACAAAACTCATTAAGAGTTCTTCAGATCAATTTAGAAGTTGTAAAAATAAAGTTCCTCAAATTGAAAATTTATTAACGTCATCTAAACCAGATATTATTATTGGTAATGAAACTTGGCTAAACAAAGATGTATTATCTTCTGAAATTTTTCCAAACACACTATTTGAAGATGTATTCCGAAACGACCGGGTCGGAAAAGAAGGTGGAGGTGTATTAATCGCCATTAAAAAAGGTATTATTTGCCAAGAAGTATATAAAAGCAAAAATGTAGAACTTATTGCTGCCCAAATTAATATAACTGATACTAAATCCTTAGTTATTATTTCTGCATATAGACCACCAAATAAAAATGATATAGACTATCTCAAACAAATGATCATTGAAATTAATGAACTTATAAAATTTAAAAATTCCACCTTCTGGCTTGGTGGTGACTTTAACCTTCCAGACATAAAATGGCCGGAGCAAAATATATCTGTCTCATTGTATACTAAGGAGCTGAATAAAGCATTTATAGATATGCTGAACAACTTAGGCATTGAACAAATGGTTGATTTTCCAACTAGGAAAGATAATATCCTTGACCTTTTCTGCACAAACCAACCTGCATTGATAACAAAAATAAAATCCATACCAGGTATATCTGACCATGATATTGTATTAGTGGATGCAATCTGCAAGCCCCAAAGATCTAAACAATCACAACATAAAATTTATTTATGGAAAAATGTTGATATTAAAAAGATAAAAGACATAACATCTCATTTTATATCTGAACTTATATCTCAGGCTAATGAAAATTTAAATATTGACCAATTATGGAATAAATTCAAAGAAGGTAGTAATAAAATAATAGATGATAATGTACCAAGCAAAATAACTAAATCTAAGTACACCAACCCTTGGGCAAATAGGGATATAGACCATTTATGTAAAAAACAACGTAAAGCTTACAACAAAGCTAAAAAAACTGGTAAACAAGAACATAAAGATAAATATAAAAAGTTAAAAGCTACTGCTCAAAGAGAAATAAGAAGAGCCCAGAGCACGTACATGCAAGAAATAATTAGCCCCCAGTTAGAAGAAAAACCTAAATCTTTCTGGCAATTTATAAAAAGTAAAAAAACAGAAACATCTGGTGTTTCACCATTAAGAGGAAAGGATGGCTTATTATATAGTGAGCCGAATACACAAGCTAACATCCTAAATGAACAATTTAAAAAGGCTTTTACTACCGAAGATACATCCTCTATGCCAAATAAAGGTACAAGTCCCCACCTCACTATGCCAGACATATTTATTAGTAATAATGGCTTATTAAAGTTACTTAAAAACTTAAATCCACACAAAGCCACTGGCCCTGATAATCTGCCAGCATATTTTTTACATAATTTTGCAGAAGAATTGTCTCCATTTTTGACATTCTTTTTCCAAAAATCTATTGATACTGGTAAAATCCCAACTGATTGGAAGCAGGCTAATGTTGTACCAATATTTAAAAAAGGTGACAAGCATAACGCTATTAATTATAGACCAGTTTCATTAACTGCAATATGTTGCAAAATTCTAGAACACATTATAACAAGCAACATAAGGAAACATCTTACAATTAATAACATATTAAATGATAGTCAACATGTGTTTAGAAGTAAAAGGTCTTGTGAGACCCAACTTATCATCAGTTTACAAGATATTGCAAAATCATTGGGATATGGTAACCAAATAGATGTTATACTTTTAGATTTTTCCAAAGCTTTCGATAAAGTCCCCCATCAAAGATTAGCCCAGAAATTAAACTTTTATGGTATTAGGAATCAAAATTTAAATTGGATAAATGACTTTTTAGCTGACAGGCAACAACAGGTACTATTAAATGGTGTTAAATCTTCAAAATTAGCTGTTGATTCTGGTGTCCCTCAGGGAACAGTTTTAGGCCCAACACTATTTTTACTCTTTATTAATGACCTACCCGAACATGTAACTTGCAATGCAAGACTTTTTGCAGATGACTGTTTATTGTATAGAAATGTTAATAATAGTTCTGATGCCAAATTACTTCAAAAAGATTTATCTAGTTTAGTACAATGGGAAGAGGACTGGCAAATGAATTTTAATCCTGAGAAGTGTTATGTTATTCATATTTCTAAAAAAAGTAAACCTTCCACTTTTGATTATATATTGCACAATCATGTTTTAGACAGTAAAAGACAGTAAATATTTAGGCGTAACTATAAGCCATGATCTTGATTGAGGAACACATATAAATAATATTACCTGTAAGGCAAATAAAACCTTAGGTTTTCTTCGTAGGAACTTAAAAAACTGCACACGTAAGGTTAAAAACCTTACGTACACATCACTTGTCCGTCCAGTCGTCGAATACTCTTCCCCTGTATGGGATCCGTACAAAAAGCAACACATCACTCAGGTTGAGCAGGTACAGCGTAAGGCAGCCAGGTTTGTCTTCAATGATTATAAAGACAGATCACCTGGAGCAGTTTCAAATTTAATTAAATCATTGGAATGGGAAAATTTAGAAATAAGAAGGAAAAAAGCTAGATTAACTATGCTATATAAAATAAATTGGGGTTAGTGGAAGTTCCTAAGGACAATTTAACAATATCTGATAGACGTACTAGGGGGAAACATAAATTTAGGCAAATATCAACAAATAAAGATTTCTATAAATTTTCTTTTTATCCTCGCACTATTTCGGACTAGCTGAAACTCACTACCTGAAGCAATAGGTATGTCTGACACCCTGGAATCCTTCAAAAGTGGCATATCCACTCTAACATTTGAAGGATCCACAACAACTTATTAAACTACAAAGCCACTATACATAATGTATTATATGTTATTGTTAATGATTTTTCTTTGTCATATTATTTTTAAATTAAGTCCATATGTACATAGCACACAAGTTCCGGGAAGTTTTACACTCCTACCTAGGAGTCTACTCCCGTATTCGGAAGAAGAAGAAGAACGATAATTATTTGAGACCTCTGACAAATCACGATAAGGATATTTTGACGAATCACGGTAAAATTTTAACTGTGACCAATTTGACGCTAACGGTAGCCGAAAATGACCGTTTGACGCCTGACGGCAAAGGGCATTCCTACCCTCCTAAAAGCGCGGAAATCACTATGTGATCCGTGTAAACTCATCGAACCTTTAAACAAACTTATTAGTAAAGGTTATCTTATTAATGTTGTAATAAGATCTTTGAATATTGTTTACATTAGCACTAACATCGATTTTGTCATCAACAAATTAAAACATAACTAAATTTGTATTCTTTTCGAATGGTTTTTAGGATGTTTAAATACACATCCACGTTTATTTTCTATTTTAGCGATTGCTTTTTCTATATATATAACATGATACATATTTATTATAAGGTTTAATCCTAACTATCCTACTGTCTGTCGATACATTTATTTTGGCATTGCACAAGTCATGTCTTCTTTGACTGTCCATGGTGTTAAAACACTAAATCCCTGGGATGTGTTTTAATGGATTTTAGTCTCTGATGCATGATTTTTTATTATTAAATGTTTTTGGCTTATAACTAGCTTTCAGTAACTGCGAGTACTCTCAAATCGTACTTCCGTGTTAATTTGACCTGTTGACACAATTTGTAATGCAGTTCTGTTATTCAATGTTTACTTATTTTGTGTTATATATCGTCTCGCTATTTTTAATATGTACCAACTTTGATAAGTGTTTAGTATGACGATAAATTTTTACTTCTGTACTCGTACTGTGAACAACAAATTTAATTATTTTGTAAAAAGTTTCTGTACTCCTAACAACAAAATTATTATATTTAAATTTACCTGTGTACGTTATTTTATTTAATGCCATTTTGTCCCAGATTAGAGTTTGCTTCTGGACATTGTTCCTACATTCCTTTATTAATATTGTATTTATATTGTGTCATAGTTTTTGTTTATATGTCTTTTTGATCGAGTTAAGCCATTTCAATTGATATTTTATAGTGTGTCTTTTTATGTTGTAATGTTACACTACTGTTTCAGGTTAGGGTGAAGGTTGGCGCCTGTTAAAACGTTTAAACCCGCTGCATTTGTATGCACCTGTACTAAGTCAGGAGCCTGTTGTTCAGTGGTTGTTGTTTGTTGGTGTGGTTCATAAGTGTTTCTCATTTCTCTTTTTTTATATAGATTAGACCGTTGGTTTTCCTGTTTGAATAGTTTTACACTAGTCATTTTCCGTGTTGAAGGCTGTACTTTGACCTATAATTGTTTGCCTTTTATACATTGTGACTTGGATGGAAAGTTGTCTCATTGGCACTCATACCACATCTTCTTATTTATATTGGCTAAATACTGCCTACTTTGCCGCTTACCAAACTGATGTGTCCAATCACAAAGTATTATTAGTTGGTTTTTTTCCCTAGAAGAATAATAGATGCACTAGGAACAGCAGAAACAGATATTGTAGCATTGTTTATAACCAAGTTTCCAGAAGAACAACTTATTTTAGGAGGAACAAATAGTCATTGGCAACTGCACATGCTCCTTTATTTCAACGATAATAAGCAGAATAAAGGTGAAATAAATAAAAGTTGGCATGTACACAATATGTCTAAAATATACTACATGAAGGGAAGTATAATCTGTACAATAAATTAAAACATATATCTCCTAATGTTTACATATTGGCCCCATCCTTTATGTGTTAGATAACTGTGTTTATGCTCTTCCATATCTATAGAACATTGAGACTAAAGTTGATTTTTTCTTCAATATTAATATTCAAATGGTACATACAAATACACATGTACCTTCTTGTTAACCTGTTGCCTTTATTTTTCTTATGTCCCTTTTGTATACATGTGCATAGTCTAGGTTTCAAATGATCAATGAAAAAATTAGTTACTTTTCTAGATATGTTTAAACATGTACCTTAATATCTAACTGGTATTTTTCATTTAAACATTTTGAAATCTAAAAAATGTGACACAGGCACAGCAGGCAGATGGGCATTGACCCCTTTTTGAGAACTTTTGTCATAGATTTTTTTACTCAATTTTCTTCATTACTTCAGCTTAATTTCTTGGTCTAGACTTACTTGTTCTTACTCATACCAACTTAATCTTGAATATGACGCCCCTCGATCTTCGAATTAATATATTCAATTGTAGAACAGACTCGAGGGGGGGGGGCACTTCAATACTTCATTGATAGAGGGTGCTGCTGGGATTCTGTTACCTCACCCTTTTTCATATGATTAAGATTTTTAAAATGTATACCTTTTCATATATTGAGTAGGTAAAAATGTAACCTTTTCCCATATTTTCGATAATCACATTCTGGCAAAATCGAGAAAATATCACCTTTGCTCGCAGCTCAGATTCCTTATTTAATGTTTACTTTTCATTGATACGGCGACACTTTCGGCTGTGTAAAAAATACAGAGCTCTTCAAATAACAAATATTGGGAACTTTATAGACCTTATCATATATTCCTGATGGTTTTCCCTTCCTATTCACATATTTCCAAGCTGGCACGTCCTTTCACCTTGTATATGAAGTGGTCCCCCCGAGAGAAAAGAAGCATGGTTAATCCCTAGAAGAGGATAAGGTGCCAGACACATAAAAATTATATATATATATACACTTTTGCTTGCTAATTCAGAATATGATCTTGTTATATATATATATATAATATATATATGTTGACATGAACAAAGATACGTTAAAACGATTAATAGCTTAAATAAAAATAAAAATGTAAGTCACGTGAAAAAAAATGTAAGGCCTTAAGTTATATAGTTCAAAGCGGCATGCTGTAGACAAAGTCACTAAACGAATTATAAATGTGTTGAGACGAATAACATGCAAATGGAGGACTGTAAATGATAATAAACAACTACAACTGATCTTACTCACCTTTAAAAGAAAGATAAAAAGCTGTTGAAAAATCCTTCCGGCTGAAGACTAAACGTCCTAAATATTGACACATATTTGTATCGGTTATTGTTATCACCTCCAAAACTAGGAGCTCCCATTCAAGCGAATAACAAAATCAAATATTTCATTGAAGCTAAAGTCAAAAACCAGGGTCATCTGTACCCCTGCAAATGTTTTTAAGTAAGGTTCAACGGAAACATTTTGAAATCTATCTAACTTTTTGTCAATGTTTAGCAATATTAAAGACAAATCCCTCTATTGTTTATGATCGTTTATGCGCACATATATTCAAAATAGATGTGTGATTCGGGGAGCCTCTGTTTGCAGTTCCAACTTTTTACTTTTATTATGATTGTCTCACTCTTCTCAAAGTTATTGTACAACATTCTTAAATTTCCGAATATAGACTTCTTTGTGACAAATTATATTGTTTGTTATCACTATCATATATCAGGGGCAGACCTTCCTGTGTACAAAAAAAAAATAACGCTCATGCTTTAATACTAATGTTATATAGATGTTTCATCAGATTACGGTATTTTTGTTGACAGACATCAATTTCCTCAGTATAAATAACACTTCAAGGCCATATCTACATGCACGTACTAGCCACGACAGCGTTAAAACAATGCATATGGAAGCAGACGAAAAGTTTGATTTAGCTCGTAATCATATCAATGCCGTTTATGTACAGTATATTTAAAAACGAAGGCCTCTTTTTGTGACTTATCCTATAGGTTTGGAAAAAAAAGTTCACTCCTTTAGCATGAATTAAGTGTTTCCGCGCTTCATACACAATGTGCTTTGGTCAACTCGGTTATGCACTCATATAATTAATTACAAAAAGAAGCATCTAATTTTTTATTTAAATTTAGTAAACAGCATTACACGTGAAGAATCGTTAAACAGACATTGCAATTTTCCCTTGAGGGCATTTCGGACATAATGTTTAAGGTATTTCAAAATGCATTGTTGAGGGTGTGGACAGGGGTACCCTTCTCCCACCTCACGCCTACTATCTCCCACCTCCCACTTTTAGAATCTTTTTTCTCTCCCACCTATTTTTTGTCTAAAACCTCCCGCCCCCACCGCCCACCTCCCTCAAAAGCTTCCATCCCTCATTGTTAAGTAAAAGTCATTAACATTTATCGAAAACTTTGAAAATATAAGAAATATATCAAACGGAATCCAAAATAATTATGACGTCTTGAAAGGCTATATTAATTTTTTTTCTGTGACGGCTAGGAAGGCGTCACAGAAAAAAATTAAAATAGCCTTTCAAGACGTCATAATTATTTGGACTAGGGTGACATGTCTTGCTGTGATTTTAATACTGTTACCTTGGCAATGTCATCTAGAACATCAACATCTTTCTTCAATGCGTCGATCTAGTACAAATTAAATTCATACCACATCAACAGGTTTTTCGTCCTAAATATTCATGTAACATTTGACAATGAACATTAAACATCTAATCTTCCGAATTCTGAGATTAGCTTTTGTGTTTTTATTGCTTATTTGAAGTATTCAGTGTAGGCTGTTGATATACGCTGTATATGCAACCTTGGTTGTGTGACTTTGGAATTGTTAAAATCTAAATGGGTTGTGTTTCGTTTTATTGTCTTTGTTGTTATGTATATTATCAAATATAATTTGTCTTGCTTCTTTTATTTTTTGTTCTTTTTTGTTCCTTTTTTTTTTCTTGTTTTTGTTTTTGTTTTCGGTTTCCTTTTGCTTTTCGTTTGATATGTGTTTTTATAGAGTGCGATTATCATGCAGGAGGTACTTATACATGTTATAATAGACAATTAATACCTTATTTGATGTTGCATTTGCAGTTATACATTTCTGGTAAAATCAGATTATGTGGTAACCATGGTAACGCTATTTCGACAGATGTGTATTGTAGATTGTATTGTTTATAGAATTGGGAGTTAATGACGCATCTTTAGTTGTTTCTTTTTAATATATTAACAGCTTTTGTAGATTCGGGACAATTTTAATTAGAGCTTGACATATTGTACAAATACCTGTCTGTTGTTAAAAGTACACAGTCACATCCGGTCTCTCGTTGTAGGAGCATGACACGCTGTATGCACGTTTTTGAACTCTTGGAATAACTCTTTCTTTGAGGGTTCTGTAACTGACATGTTGCAAGCCAAAATTATTGTATCTACTAAACATTCCCTCTTTTTCCAATGACAGTCACAATCTACCACCAGCTCCTTGGTTGTCCAGCTTTATCATGCTTGTGGAACATATTTTTGATTTTTTTAATTTTTGTCTCGTCTTAAATATGCATGTACTATTTTGCAACTAGACGTAGCAAACAATTATTTCAAACTTCGTCATCCCGGGGCTTTTTATAGACCACTATAAGGTATGGGTTTTACTCATTGGTGTGAGTCGAAAGGTGACCTAAAATTGTTCATACCGTTGTCCTTTTTGGTCTTTGATTGATTGTTGTCTTACTGACAATTATACCACATCTCCTTATTTTAAAAAAAAATCTATTAATCTTATTGGGTCATGAATATTGTCATAAATTTTTATCACTCTCAACTGAATATGAAATAAATACGTTCGAAGAACTTAAGAAGTGATGATAAACTCAATATTCATATAGTAATGAGATTAAAGATGATTTTAATGAATTTTGGACCTGTCATAATTAGTGGAGGATACACTTGCCTCGTGTTTCTGAAATTCCCCCGATAGAAATACAAACAACAAACCAGTAAATCTAATAGTTAAAATTTACAAATGCTGGTCTGTGAATTTAAGTAGTCCGTATGAAAATCCGGTTATTAAATTGGGATTGTACGAATGGTGGACGGCTCCAGCTATTTCCGTCCCAAAACTTGAGAACCATTCAACCAAGTAATGCTTTTAAAATTTTAATATGGTCCAAGATTTATTGGGAAATGGCACCTTAAGTCGATTCCTTGCAATAACTTAAACACCTGTAAACTAATTCTTTTTCAGATTTTAATATGTTCTTATGTTGACTAGTACAGGTGACAAAATCGGAGTCTACTCGAAACTGATGAATTTCGCTTTTGCCGTTTATAGCCATCGATTGCTTTAAAATGACACTAACAAATGTAAGAACAACTCGGTTTGCTGTCATTTTGGAACTTTAATGAACTCTGTGATCAGACAGTAAATCCCATATATACTAAATAATACGCAGCCGCGTCCGGTTAGAATGGTGAAGTTAAATTCGATGGTGCGTTTGAGAGAATGCAAAGAACATTACAAGAACTCTTTGGAGTTGATTGTGGCGAACTTGCAGTCCTTATTTAACATATGCCTGTTGTTTTAAGTAGGAATTGTCTTCATATAACCTGTTTTTTTTTTAAATTATTATCGTTCTAAATATCATTAAAAATGTAGATTCAATATTTTTTTTTTATTAAAGTCTCACCACTTGTGTAACATAAAACATTCGAATACATATCTATAAAACATAGCGTATATTAAAACTAACATTAAAATATCATTAACTTAAATATTAAAACATATACAAGCGCCATTCTATTAAGAATTATGAGAGACTATTAAAAAGTAAAATAACAAAAATACCGAACTCCAAGGGAAATTCAAAACGGAAAGTCCTTTATACAATGGCAAAATCAAAAGCTCAAACAAATTTAACGAATGGAAAACAACTGTCATATTCCTGACTTGGTTCAGACATTTCCTTGTTTAGAAAATGGTGGATTAAACCTGATTTTATAGCGAGTTAAACCTCTCACTTGTATGACAGTGGCATAGAATTTTTTATAATTGACAACAATGTGTGAGCAAAACAAACAGACATAATAGGTAAAAATGTCAAAAATTGGGGTGCAGCATTCAACCTTGTAATATAATCTTAATCACTTTAAAAGCAAATAACTATTTAAACAAAGAAAAACAAAAAGGCATATAGACACTCTCTAGACAAAGTACATGAGCAAAAAATGAAAGACAAGAATACATAATTGACCATAACACAATAGAACAATGGTGGGATGCATAAGTACCGAGCCACGCTAAAAGTATAATACAAAAAATGGACTAAACAGTAAAGTTTTAAAATGTACAAGAACAAATGAAACAAGAGGCTCTCAAGAGCCTGAATCGCTCACCTGTATTTCAGAGGAGAAGATTTTTAAATGTTAGCAAACTTGATGAACAAATTGTGTAAAATTGTCTTTAAAGGGCAAAAACTCCTTAAGGGGTCAATTGACAATTATGGTCATATAAACTTTTTTGTAGATCTTACTTTGCTGAACATTATTGCTGCTTACAGTTTATATATATCTATAATAATATTCAAAATAATAACAAAAAACTGCAAAATGTTGTTAAAACTACCAATTCATTGGCAGCAACCCAACAATGGGTTGTTCGATTCGTCTGAAAATTTCAGGGCCGATAGATCTTGACCAATTAAACAATTTTACCCCTGTCACATTTGCTCTAAAAGATTTAGTTTTTGAGATATAAGCCAAAAACTGCATTTGACCCTTATGTTCTATTTCTAGCCATGGCGGCGATGTGTGTCGATGGATCAAAACTTCGGATAAAATTTATAAACTAGATACCCTAAGGAACATTTACTTAAAGTTTGAAGGTATTTGGCCCAGTAGTTTCAGAGGAGAAGATTTTTGAAATAGTTTACGACGACAGACGACGACAGACGACGACGACGACGACGACAGACGACGGACGCCAAGTTCGGGCCCCGGTGAGCTAAAAAAAGGGAACACTATAACATGTAATTTAGACGATAAACAACGTCAGTACCTAGAATCTATACTTCAAAACCATCATGTATTATTTGTGAAGTTGATACGGAATATTTCTCAACAAGGTCTTGGTATCTTCCAGTGAACTTTATTAGAAAAAGGACGAGACGTTCTTTGACATAACCTTGGCTCATCAACTTTTTGCTCAGACACTGGTGGCGTTTTATAAAGTCTAAGTAGCAGCTGCAAGCTCTTGTATACCGACTGAGTTTGGAAATGTATATCCCATATGTAGGTGAAGTTGGTATATTGCTGCTAAGGTG